TTCGTTGGCCAGCTGAACATTCTGTCAGAGCCACCTCCAGCCGCATGAGGTAGCAGATTCAATCCAGGATCTCTAGTAAGGGCACCCGTGTCCACGTAGTGTCACACCAACATCCATGGGATCTGCTGCCTTATGTGCTGTCAGGGTTCCAGCACTGCATTGTTACTTGTGTCTTGATTTTCTTGGTGTGCAAGGGGATGGGATCAGGTTGATTGTCAGCCTGGCTCATGTGGTGCCCTCACCAGTGAGTTGACTGCTGATGTCCTAGCAGAACGCGCTGGTAGGAAGGTGGGGCCCAGATGGAGGCGGGTCACTGGGGGTCCCTTTGGGGCCAGATCTCTCTTTGGCCACGGTGAAGTGAGTCGCTTTGCTTTACCACGTCCAGGGTGTGGATATTAATATTAATTTCCTTCTTTGTGTTTAGGGTTTCAGTAATCATCCATAATGAGAATATTAAATGTGCTTGAATAATTTACCCTCCTTAGAGAGTGGTGTTTCGTCTTTCTTTAGAGCTAGAAGGTCAGCCAGCCATAATTGTCTGGAATAAATTGGTCAAATGAATAGAAGCCATTGAATGTGGGATATGGAGAAGAATGCAGTTCATTGTTCACATGTGATTTCTACCCTGGTTGAATTTTAATTATGGCTATTTGTAATTTTCCTGTCTTTAACCCGAAGGTTTGTTAACATCTACTATAATTTCAATACTTTCATGTTCTGTATGTAACTTGTTTAAGCATAGTGGTGAGTGCCTATAATCCTAGGAGGCTGAGTCAGGATGGTTGTAAGTTCAAAGCCAGACTGGACCACATAGTGAAACCTTGTCTCAAAAAACAGAAACAAACAGTATATATAAATGGGGTTCATTATGAGTTTTTGACAGAAAGGAAATATTTTAATTCCTACTGTGACTGCACCAAGAGCCTAGTTCCGTATTTCTCTGAGTAAAGTAGCTGTATGTCACGTCATAAATATGACAGTCCTGATTTACTGTGTCTGTTGTCCTGACCTAATTATTAATGGTTGCTCCCTTTTTCTTATGTGTCTTGGTCTACTCTGACCAGACAGATTTGAGTCTTTGAATGAGCAGTTTAGTTTATTGTAAATTTCTATTGTGTAATAGTTCTGTATGTTTAGAAAATGTAAATTATACACTGATTATAATAGTTTATATTCAGCAAAAATATGTGAATAAAATTCAGTGGAGCAAAGATGTTACAAAAATAGAATCTTAATTTTCAAGTTGTATCTATAAGAAAACCCTACCAGCCAATATTTTTGTCTCCAAGTGAATTTTCCTTGTCTGAATTACAACACTCAGCAGCCATTTCCTGGACACTAGCTGGGTGTCAGGTGAGATTGGTAGGCTGGGGACACAGCTGAAAGGCACAGTCCTCCTTAGGGGGCTGAGCACAGAGTGTCTGTGTAGGCTGCTGTGAGAACATGGAGGGATGGCTCCACAGGCCTAAGAGGGCTTGTGCTTGAAGTATTTCCTACAGGGGTGACCCCCAAAAGATGAGTAGGCTGGAGCAGCTCAATAGTGTGAAAGAAGCTAAGGCCAGTACTGTAGGTGAAAGCAGCAGCTTATGTAAAAGAAGAGAGGACTAGCACACCTGTAATTCCAGCACTTGAGAGGCTGAGGCAGGACGATTGCTCTGAGTTCGAGGCTAGCTTGGGCTACATAGTCAGTTCAAGGCCAGGCTGAACTACATAGTGCTACAGGTGCAAATTCCCTACAATGAGTGTTATCATTATATACTATCATTTTATATATATAGTATTTTATATATAATGAAGAAAACATGAAAAACCTACATAATGAGACCCTGTCTCAAAAAAAATGAAGAAGGAGAAGGAAAAGGAGAAAGGAGCAGTGGTAGCAGAAGAGGAAGAAGTGGGGGAGGAGGAGGAGGAAAGAAGAAGAAGAGGAAGAAAGAAGAAGATCTGTTTTACACATATAAGTAGTCAGGAGGAGGAGTATTTTGGTAGTTTTTTTGAGGGAGGTAACTGGATATTTTTTGCATTGACATCAAAACTTGACAATGAGGGTTGATCCCTGGTACCAAAAAAAAAAAAACCAAAAAAACTTGACAATGAGGGCTGGGGATTTAGCTCAGTGGTGCCACCTGCCTCGAAAGTGCAAGGTCCTGAGTTCGATCTCCAGTACCAAAAACAAAAAACACTTGACAAATGATAGTTTCTTACAGGTTCTTTGCAGTGTAGAATCTGAAACCAAATCACTAGCTTTTTATATTGTTAGGGTCTCTTGGTCTCTCTCACACTTGAAAGGGATATTTTCTGGTAGAATTAGTTTGACTTTGATACATAGATATGCTGTTCAGTACTTCAGACATTTAGACCCTTCCTTTTCTTATTAAGGCCTTCAGTTTCATGGAAAGAGGAACTAGCTACTTTTCTTCCTCCTTCTACTTTAACAGGAGAACTAAGGTATTTAGGATGGACTAATTGTTGTGTGTTATGTTATTGTTTCTTGTTTCAAATTTCATTTTTCACTTTTTTACTGAATTAGACTCTCTGACTAGATTGCATTTATGCATTTTTTTTTTTTTTTTTATCTTTTGGTACCGGGGATCAAACTCAGGTCCTTGCAGTTGCGCAGCAGGCGACGAAACCACTGAGCTAAATCCCCAGCCCTGCATTTGTTTTTTTAAAGCCCACATTGCCTGCCTTACCTGTGGAGTTTTAAGAAGGAAATCTAGGTCAGCAGCATTGAGCGAAGGCGTGGACAGGAGCTTGTATCAATTAATGGTGCTTGATGCAGCTTTGGAAAGTGCAAACGGCATACCCCACGTTCCTGCTCCAGAGGCATGAGGAAAACACATCTGCTTCTCCGATTAAAACCCTAATTCCTGGGCCGGTGATTTAGCTCAGTGGTTCTGGTGCCTGCCACGCAAGTGCAAGGTCCCAAGTTCGATCCCTGGTACCAAAAAAACAAAAACCCTAATTCCTTACCAAAGTATAAGAGGAATGAGGGGCCAGCATGTGCAGGTCTGAGGAATGTCTTATGAAAAGCTTTTGTGCTCTTGAGCCCTAGACAGGTTGTCTTTATTAGCTTTAGAAACAGAAGAGAGGTGTGCCTTTCCTATATAGGACGTGATTAGAAGATTACTGAATATTCCTTTGTTATAGTGATTGTAGAACTGAACAGTTTTCCTTAGAGACCTGTACTGAGACCAAGAAAAATAAAAGGTCTCTCAAGGCTGGGTCTGATGGTGCATACCTCTAATCCCAGCACTCCAGAGGCTGAGGCAGGAGGATTGCCACAAGTTTGAAGCCAGCATGGACTACATACGGAGTTCAGGACCAGCTAGAACTACAAACTGAGACCCTGTGTCAAAAAACAACACACAGGGCCCGGGGATTTAGCTCAGTGGTTCTGGCATCTGCCTCCCAAGCGCAAGGACCCGAGTTTGATCCCCGGTTCCAAAACAACAACAACAACAACAACACACATCAGCGGCACCATACCTGCTAAAAACACACACACTGCTGAGAAACACACGAGAGAAAGGAAAGAAAGAAAGAAAAGAAAGAAATGGGGGAGGGGAAGGGAGAGGGAAGGAAGGAAGGAAGGAAGAAGGGAAGGGAAGGGAGAGGAGGGGAGGGCAGGGCAGGGCAGAGGAGCTAGGTCTGTCTGGCTGTCCTGACTGCACAGTTAGCGTGTGCCAAAGCCAGGGACAAGGAACTCAATTATCTCTGCTGGTGCCCAACCCTATGCTTGTTTGACTGCTCTCCTTCCTTCCTCTCTCTCTCTCTCTCTCTCTCTCCTTTTGTTGTTTAAACTCTGCTGTAGATTTATTAGACTATTTAATAATAATAGAGGGAAAAAAACCCCTGTGTTTGTGAAGGTAACCAAAGGCTTCAAGACTGTTGTTTAATCAGTTGCAGACTGATTCCTGGCTTCAACTTCTGATCACCACAAGCATCTCTTTTCTGCTATAATTGGGTTGGGTTTTTTTTGGTACCGGAGATCAAACTTGGGTCCTAGCGCTTGTGCAGCAGGTGGTGAAACCACTGAGTTAAATCCCTGGACCTCTGCTATAATTGTTTAGTTAATTTCTCTGTAATAATCTAGAGGGGGGTGCATTATTACATTTGTTTTTTTGTTTGATTTTTGAGCCAGAGTCTTGCTGTGTAGTTCAGGCTCTGTGATGTAGACTGTCCTCGAACTCTTGAAAATCTTCTTGTTTCAGCATCCAGAGTGCTGGGATTACAGGTGTGTACCACCATTCCCAGCTTGCTGCAGTTCTTAAATCATAAAGGTGCAAATGTAATAATATACTTCCTTCTAGGTTATTACAGAGAAATTAACTAGAAAGTTGTAAGAGAAAAGCAATGTGTCTGGTGCTCTGAAGTTGAAGCCAGGAATCAGTCTGTAATGATGAGTTAAGTGTCAGATTGTTTCTGTAGTGTTTGTTGAAAAAACTTTCCTTTTTCTGTTGAATTTTATTGACGTCTTTGCTGAAAGCCAACTGACTATAACTGTGTAGGATTATTTCTGAACTTTGTTCTATTTCTTTAAGTGTGTGGTCAGTACTACAATAAGTCAGTGCACTTATAGTAACTTTTGAGATCAGGTAATGTAATTCCTTTACCTTTGTTTTTCTTAAAAATGTTTTTTGACTTTTCTGGGTATTTAAAGTTTCCTTATGAATTATGGAATGAGCTTGGTATCTTTTTAAAATTCTGCTGGGATTTTATTTTATTTTATTTATTTTTTGGTACTGGGGATCGAACTCGGGACCTTGCACTTGTAAGGCAGGTGGTAGAACCACTGAGCTACATCCCCAGCCCAATCTGTAGTGTTTTTAATCTTAATTAGGACCTTATGCTTCCAGTAATTTATTTTTTTCTATCTGTAAAGTTTTTAAAAGTTTTCTTGAAAGGCATTTGCTAGATTGGATTATGTTATATTGAACTAGCTGTGACATTTTATAGAAAACAGTACTGTCTAACTTGTCTTGCATCTGTGTCTTAAGGGTATCCAGCCGGATTCCTGGATGAGACGATGACCTTCCAAGAATATCAGAACAGCCAGAACTGGCCAGAAGATGCAGACTTTTGTTTCCAGCCTGGGGAAGTGGTAAACCCAATCCAGACTGGTAAGTGTGGGCCTGTGTGCCTGCTAAATAATTGTGTGCATGATATGTATACCAGAAAGATATTCAGATAAAACATTTTGGCCTAGGGCCAGGGATGTAGCTCAGTGGTTCCGCTGCCTGTCTCACAAGCACAAGGTCCCGAGTTTAATCCCTGGTACCAAAAAGAAACAAAACAAAAAAAAACATTTTAGCCTAAATGCAGCTCAGAAATTACACCCAAAATGTCATTATTCCTCCTGAGCTTCTGGTTGGCCCTTTATCTCCTCGTTTTTTTTTTTTTGGTACCAGGGATCAAACTCGGGACCTTGCGCTTTCGAAGCAGGCAGCGGCACCTCTGAGCTAAATCCCCACCCCTATCTCCTTTTTATCCTTTCTTCTGAGGCACTTAATGCTCTGCAGGTCTCTCCTTTTCAAAATCTGTTTCTAATAAAGTATTTGAAATTCATGTGTTCAAAACTAAAAGATCAGGCTGGGGATTTAGCTCAGTGGTTTCACCGCCTGCTGCGCAAGCGCAAGGACCAGAGTTCAATCCCCGATACCAAAAAAAAAAAAAACCCAAAAAACTAAAAGATCAATAATGTCTTA